ATCCAGCCTGCTGCCTATTTTTGTACACTTCAGAAGGCAAGGGTGGGTTTTACATTTTGGAGGGTGGTGGGTGGAAAGGAGATGCAAGACCATATATGTCATACAAGCCTAAAATATTTACCATCTGGTTCTTCACAGAAAAACTTGCTGAGCCCTGTCCTGGAGCAGGATTTCTCAACTTTGGCACAATTTGACATTTTGGGCCAAAATGTCATTCCATGATGAGGGTAATCCTGCACATTGTAAAGTATTTAGTAGCACCCTTGGCCTCTACCTAATAAATGCAGTTGGCACCCTACTCCCAGTTGTGACAACCAAAAATGTCTCCATACACTGGCAAATGTCCTTTTGGGGTGCAAGGAGGGCGTCAAACTTGCCTCTGGTTGAGAACTATTGCCCTAGAGCACACACACAAAAAAGTATAGCTAATAAGTCAATAATAGAGATAAAATGAGTCCATTAAAAAAAAAATTTAAACCTCAATCCAAAAGAAGGCAGGAAAAGAGAAAAACGATTTTTCAGATAAGACATGAAAAGCAGAAACCGTAAAAGAAAATATTGATAAACTGGATTTGACCAAAATTTAAACTTCTGCCTCTCAAATGATACTGTTAAGAAAATGAAAAGCCAAGCCATAGACAGAAAGAAAATATTTGCAAAACATAAATTTGATTAAAAACCTGTATCAAGAATTAAAACCAAAACCCAAAAACCTTACAACTCAGTAAGACAAACAACCTGATTTGGGGGCAAAAATTGACAAAAGATTTGAATAGACTTCACCAGATATAGAAATGGCAAATAAGCATATGAAAAGATGCTAAATATCATTAATCATATGGAAAAATGCAAATTAAAACCACAATGAGCTATCACCATCACACCCAGTAAAATACTTAAAATTCAAAAGACTGACACTATCAAGTGTTGACAAGGATGTAGAACAACAGAACTCTCCTCCACTGCTGGTAGGAAAGCCCAATGGGATAGCTGCTTTGGAAAATAATTTGTAACTCATAATAAAGTAAAATGTGCACTTACCATACAGCCCACAATCCCACTCACAGCTATTTACTCCCAGAGAAATGAAAACATATGTTTAAAGACTTTTACCCAAATGTTCTTATCAACTTTATCCATAATAACCAAACACTACAAACAACGGATGTGGCCCATCAACTGGTGAATGAATAGACAATACTCAATACCCACACAATGGAAAACTACTCAGCAATAAACAGAAACAAACCCCTGACACACAAAACAACATAGATGTATGTTGAGAGCATTATGCTCAGCTTCAGAAGGTGGACACAAAAGACTACACACTGAGTCATTCTTTTTACATGCAATTCTAAAAAAGCCAAACCTCTGGTGACAGAAAGCAGATCAGTGGGTTTGCCAGGGTCCAAGGGTGGGGGAAGGGGATTGACTGCAGGGGAAAATGAGGGAACTTTTAGAGATGATGGAGACATTTACTATTGTGATTGTGGTGGTGGTTACACAACTAGATATATTTGTCGAGACTCAGAGAACTGTATACTTGAAATTGATGATTTTTTATTGTATCAAAAAAGCTGATTAAAAAAACAAAAGCTCAATAGCCAAGAAGGTTTTGAAAAATAAGAATGGAGTGAGAGTGAGACTATGTTTTCCTCAAGTCATTTCTAGGAAAACAGCCTGCTACATGCAGGATGGCTGGGAAACCTGATGCTTCTGGTCAAATCTGATTTGGATCCTTGTAACAGAATATATATTGGGCTGGAGGTTATTAGCCAGTAGTATTTAAGCCAGAGGGTCAACAGTGGGCAAACATGGGAATTTAGTAAGATATCAAGTAAGTGGAGAAGGAATGAACTAGTCAATAGACAGTATCAAGAGAACTCACTAACCATTTAGAGAAAAAGAGTTCTACATCATACATATACAAAACTAAATTACAGATGGATTAGAAATGTAAATTTAAACAAGATTATAAAAGTACCAGAAGATAATATAAAATATTTTATAATCTTGTAATAGGCAAGCCCTATGTAAACAAGTCACAAGACGCAGAAGAGCAGATTTGACTAGAATTAAAACTTAAAACTTAAGTAAAACAAAATACCATAATCAAAGCTCAGATAGGTCAAGAGAATATTTTATATGTGTATATGTGTACTATATATACTTATAAGTAAATATACTCGTACTATATAAACATAAGTATACTTACATATAATATATACACATAAATACACACACACACTTGAAATATTAAAGAATTAAAAGCCATACTATATAAAACTCTTATAAAGCAATAACAAAGTCAAACTACCGAATAGAACAGTAGGCGAAAGATATGAATAGGCAATATTCAGAAAAACATACGAAAATAATTAATGATAAAATATCAAATCAAATAGACACAAGTCAAAACGACCTGTTCACTCATCAGGTAAGCATTTTTTTAAATGGCAATATTTGTTGTCATCAGAGTGTGGCAAACTGTCACTCCCGTACGCTATTGGTAGCAGTGTAAAGCAGTGCTCATTCTCTTAGAGGGCAGTCTGGCAATCACTATCAAAATTTAAATCCACAACCCTCAACCCAAAAAGTCTTCATCCAATAATCTAACCATGGAAAATCTTAGAGAAGTCACAAACATTGCATTAAACATCCTTTTATGTGTATCTATTTGTAGTAATGAAAAACTGGAAACCTGAATACCCATCAATACAGGAGAGTAGGTTAAGTTATAACTAATCTGTCTCTAGCAGACATCTGTTTTTGCCTGCAAAGCAGCCCTTCCATCTTCTTCTAGGAACAGAAGCCCCTTTCCTCTAGAAATGTTCTTCCACCACCTGGAGAGCGAGTCAATCACAAGGCTCCACCCCTCTCCACGAGGCTGGAAACGCGATTCAGGGGGAACAAGTGACACCCCTCCTGAGGTCCATAGTGACAGGTCAGAGGACAAGTGCAGAAGACAGGCAGAGCCAACCAGAGGCTAGAAGGTCTCTCTCCCTCTGGGACCATGAAAACTGGGACTGCTGAGGGCCATCTTTGCCACCACGTGGAAAAAGCCAACCTGAGGATGAAGCCAGCACCAGGAAAGGCAGGACTAAGAGGAGGGATCAGCTCCAGTCTTCAGATCTCCTGTTTCCCTCATAACCCTGGCTGGGTCAGTTCTTTATCACTTACTCATGACAGAATTCTGACAATGGAGTATCACACAGTCATCAAAAAGAATGAGGTGGATCTGTATGCACAGAGATTTCTACAATATGTTAAGGGAAAATAGAAAAAGTGATTTTCAGAGCATTATTATACTATGCCTTTGTTTTTAAAGGATACATATTTTTCTATTAATGGCGAGAACTGAGAAAAGAGGAGACTGTTCACTTGAACACATAAGACCTCAAAATTTATATAAATATACATAATTTTTTTTTTTTCTTAAAGATTTTATTTATTCAGTTTTTCCCCCCAAAGCCCCAGTAGATAGTTGTATGTCATAGGTTCACATCCTTCTAGTTGCTGTATGTGGGACTCGGCCTCGGGTTGGCCGGAGAAGTGGTGCCTTGGGGCGCTCCCGGGATCCGAACCCGGGCCGCCAGCATCAGAGCGCGCGCACTTAACCGCTAAGCCACGGAGTCGGCCCAAATATACATAATTTTTTAATCACAATAAAATGTTATAAAATTAAATGCTATGCTTAAAATTTACATCAAGGTCTAATTATCAATTTTATCTCATCTTAATTTCCATAAATGCCTGTGGAATTTTTTTCCTAGAAAGGAATAGAAATAATAACAGGGTTAAGTGGGATTCCTCCTAGGTGCTCATCAGAGTTTTACATATGTTTCTTCTTCAATCTCCCTCTGAAGAGCCAAATCTAGAAAGTGGATATTCTAGAAAAGTGGGGTGTATACTCTTTAGATCAAGTGACCTCTGGCTGAATGAAAATACATTCATTTATCTGTGGCACAGTAACAGAATGAGAAACTGAGGGAGATACTTCTAGAGAACCTCAAATAAAGAAAATACTCAAATCAAGGTACAGAACTTTGCTACCTGCCACAAATTCAAGGTCACACTAAGGGCAGACCATAAGGACAGGGCATATGGTAATTCAATCCACACAGCAGACAGCCTTCTTTTCACCTCCAATGTCACAATCCACGCCCCTCCGGGCTCTCTCTATACTCCCTGTACGTCATCTGAGACGCTCAACTCTTCACGACTGAGGCAAGATGTACTCTATGTAACTTCAGGAAGAATACATTAGGCCTATTCACTAATAATTTATCACATGAATAAAAATTAATAAAAGCCTAGACTTAAACAAACATAGAAATGAAATCTGAAAAACGATCATGCTATAAAAAGCAACAAAGAAGGTATTGACTAGCTACTTGTCATTCTTTTGACACTCTAGTAAGTTACATGAGAATATACAAAATCTAAGCTCCAAGATACAGTGGAAATTCAATTGGAAAACCAATTTTATTTATTTTTTATTTATTGATGTTTTAATAGTTTTTAACATTGTGAAATTTTGGGTTGTACATTTTTGTTTGTCCATCACCATATATATGACCCCCTTCACCCCTTGTGTCCACCCCCCACCCAATTTTATTTTTTTTTAAGTTGAATAAATGGTTTTTAAATCAGTATTTGGCACAAGTTGATGCAGAATTAATTAGCATTACTTTTGCAACAGGATTAAAGAGTAAAAGAAAAATGCCTTTCAATGGCCAAACAAAAAAGCTAAGATAAATCTTTTCACATTTAGTAGCATATGAAAAGGAAGAACTATAATTTATTCAAATTTAAGATACAAACAATCACAGTGAGGAAAAAAATTAAGACTCTTTCTGAAACACTAAAAAGACATCAAAATGTTGTGTTTACCTCAAAGGATCACATATGCTAAGCGGCATGATGGCCCACAAGGCGTTTGGAAAAACACAAGATTCAATTTATTATTTCATCATTGTAATTTTAATCAGTTAGCATATTAATATCACATACACTTTTTTAATATAAATATTTTTAAAACCTGTGTTTTACGATATCAAGAACACAGAGATGATATAGGTTATATAGGTAGTCATTTTGACTGTGTACGAAATGTGATCAGAATACTGTTATGGTAAAAGAAAAGCCCCTTCTTTTTAATCATTTGTATTCAGGAACAGTGAGAATGCTCTATGTGCACTGGCTCTGAAGATCACATGTCACTTCTGTCAAACCTGCTGTGCTGTGTTACTGTTTTGACGATTACACAGCTCAACATAAAAATGCATCCCACTCGATTCTCAGTAAGTCTGATGAGGCAGATAACCTCCCAGTCATAGAAGCTTTTACTTTAAGACAAGCATTATGCAAATACAGCATGGAAATCAGACTTGCTGTAATTGGGGTAAAAAGACAACTGTAAGAACCCTGTATTTCTGACACTGTTGCATTTTTGTGCACTCATCTTGCATTTCCTGCCCTTCTTCCTCCTCTCTGAAGTGCTAGATTAAAGTGTATTTACACTAGAAAGTTACTAATAGGCTTAATACAAGAGAACCATGTTTGAGAAAGCAAGACTTTCTGGAAAGAAACCTCCAATTATTTTCCATATTATACGTTTTCATGACCTTTCTTATAAAAAGGGAGTGTTTTATGTGCAACACCTGCAGATAGAAATAAATCCACATTTCACTCAAACCCAATCAAATATATCAAATATAAAATACACACATGAAGCGAACTATGACAGCAGCAATGATTCTTGGGGCAGCATACGCAAAATCCAGCATTTAGCCATCTACTTGTAGCATACTGGTCAGAAAAGAAATGTGCCAAAACTCCCTTTCCCATTCCACTTGAATTGGTTCCCCACAATCGAAACAAACATCTCCTGTGACATTAAGTTGTCATCAGCTTGTGTGATCCCCAGCTCACTCAACCTTTTCTTCTTCATCTGGCCTTTTTGCGTGGAGGCAGCGACCAGTTCATTTACAATTTCACAATTGCCTTCGACTTGCTCGGAAAGGTCAGATCTTGCGTAAAGCTCCATTCTACCAGTTGCACACTGAATCAGCTCTTCCAGATCCACTCTTTCAGCTGCATCGGCCTCTCCACTTGTCTGAATTTTAAGTGCTCTATTTTCTGCAGAAACAAACAAATTATAACAAATAAAGTTAAATACAAAAACTAATCCAACTAAAACATATATATTTCTATAGTCTATTAGAGCTTTCAAGTTTTTTCTGCTAAGGATTCCTGAAGGACGACAAGGACCACTCACCATCCTTTAAACTGTCCTCACACATGCCCATGCCTAATGCTTCTCTGTGACTGAGATTTCATAGTGATTCGGGGCATGGCTTCAAATTCATGAATTTCCCAGAGTTAGCTCAGCTTTGCTGTCAAGAAAGACAGTTGACAGGGAGGCATTTACTTCTACCAAAAATAAATAGAGGCCAACTCCACGATCCCCTCCAGTAAATGAGCCTGCAACCCGGCACACTCCTTTCTCTGCCTCCAGCCTTAACAAATGCCAGCAGGAGCCACCCCTGCTATCATATGCCCATCCTTAATCTACAATTTTATAGAAAGCCACGCATGATAAGAAGGGAATTGCAGGACCATGAAACCATACATCAAGGTTTGAATGAATAATTGAACTAGTTGAGCTTGAAAATTTTTTTCACCCTGAGATTCTATAATGTTATAGCTTTACCAAGCTTCCCCATCTCCATGCCCCTGTATGCCAGTTATCTTTTTTAAGGAGGAGAGCAAGACTCAGATTTTTAATCAGAGTTTAATGCTGAAATAAAGTAAATTAGACCTGGTTTTTATTTTTAAAAATTACTAAATATACCATACCTTCAGTTTCATCTTGGGCACTTTCTTGCAGGTCAGAGAAAATTGTAGGTTTCACCAAGACGACACCATAACCTTCATTATTATGTATGACATTATTCACCATGGATATTCTTGGAATGTCATAATGCTCATCTAAGAAGTCCTGTGACATTGAAAGCAGATGTTTTAAGGAACTGCCACAGTCAACACTGCCTGCTTTGAAACCTTCTCACTTTTCCAGGCTATTTTAAAAGTAACACAGAAAGCTATGCTGGCCGGCCCCGTGGCTTAGAGGTTAAGTGCGCGCGCTCCACTGCTGGCGGCCCGGGTTCGGATCCCGGGCGCACACCGAGGCACCCCTTCTCTGGCCATGCTGAGGCCGAGTACCACATACAGCAACTAGAAGGATGTGCAGCTATGACACACAACTATCTACTGGGGCTTTGGGGGGACAAAAATAAATAAAATCTTAAAAAAAAAAAAAAAAGAAAGCTATGCTTATCAATATGTGGTAGCACAGTCAGAGCTCTGAGTGACACAGCATTCCTCTGTCGTGTTTGCAAATCTATAGACAGCAAAGTATTCTCACAAGAGACTTTCAATCACCACCTATTGATACTATTAAAATAACAGAACCCAACATGGGAATTTAATAAAACATAATTATTTTTTAGGTGAAATCATTCTAACCCTTGGAAAGAGGGTGTTTCAGGAGGTGCTCACCTTAATGAGTATCCCTTCCTTGCAGTGATGGATCCCATTGTCACTCAGGGTGCACTTACTCCCAGGATATATCTCTATACCAGCACCCTACAAGTTACATTTTAAGGCAATGACAGTCAGTTTTTAAAAGGCAGGACTATAAGAGGTTTATTACAATCACTTCTTAGACTTTAACAGCACAAATATAGTGTTTTATAGAAAGTTTTATTAGGTATTTCTAATCAACATTTCCATTTGCTCCATTTCTAGCAAATTGTCTACCATTTATCACTTTCAAAAACCACACACACACACACACACACACACACACACTACACTGGGTAGGAGTATCAGCACTTGATTGCTGTTCCACTCTCTTTTATTCTGGACAAATCAGTTTTCTAATTCTGTCGGAAAAAAACCAAGTCATTTAACAATTTCAGTGAAAGATGCACATATTCAAAACGACTATCTTCTCAGAGATATTCAATTAGTTAGAGGACAGTATTTGAGTCTAGTAAAATATTGTAATTTGAGGATAGAAATAAGACCCTATATTTTTAAAAACACACCACTCTTTTTTTTTTATAATTTTATTTATTTTTTTCCCCCAAAGCCCCAGTAGATAGTTGTATGTCATAGTTGCACATCCTTCTAGTTGCTGTATGTGGGACGCGGCCTCAGCATGGCTGGAGAAGCTGTGCGTCGGTGCGCGCCCGGGATCCGAACCCGGGCCGCCAGCAGCGGAGCGCGCGTACTTAACTGCTAGGCCACGGGGTCGGCCCAAAACACACTACTCTTAAAATATCCCAACCTAACTTAAAAGTCATGTCTATGAGGGCCGGCCCCGTGGCTTAGCGGTTAAGTGTCCGCGCTCCGCTGCTGGCGGCCCGAGTTCAGATCCCCGGGCGTGCACCAACACACCGCTTCTCCGGCCATGCTGAGGCCGTGTCCCACATACAGCAACTAGAAGGATGTGCAGCTATAACATACAACTATCTACCGGGGCTTTGGGGGGAAAAATAAATAAATAAAATCTTTAAAAAAAAAATAAAAGTCATGTCTATGAGTTAAACAATCAATGGTCTCTACTACTACACACATGTTAAAATTAGCAGCCAACTCAAGTGCCTCATGTACACAGAGTAACCAGAGAGATTCATGCTTGGCCCAATGCACCACCCTGTCCCTCAGCACCACATGGTACCAACAAAAAAGGAACAGTAACAGGAATAATTTATTTCCTGATACTATGCTAGGCACTTTGGGGAGTAAAAATGATTCACTCACACCTCTATAGTTATTTAAGAAATCATTTTTGGAATAATTGCACACACAATATCATAGATGAAGAAGAGTTGCTACCAACCACTTATGACACATCTACTGCACGTATGTTGTCTTTCTAGGAGTAGCAGTGTACCATGAGAAAACATTCATCATTACTTCCCCCTTTGGGGATTACTAGAACATGTAGGGCTGAGTGGCCACTACGCACCAACCTAACTCTCCGTAGAGAAGTAAAAAGATCTGCTAATTGGGCCTTCAGCTAAGAGATTTTCAGTTTGGGGTTATGTACAAAAAAGATTTAGGGGGAAAACATTAAAAGTACAGGGCCGGCCCCGTGGCTTAGCGGTTAAGTGATCGCGCTCCGCTGCTGGCGGCCCGGCTTCGGATCCTGGGCGCGCACCGATGCACCGCTTCTCCGGCCATGCTGAGGCCGCGTCCCACATACAGCAACTAGAAGGATGTGCAGCTATGACATACAACTATCTACTGGGGCTTTGGGGGAAAAATAAATAAATAAATAAAATTATAAAAAAAATAAGACATTAAAAGTACATATACAACAAAATAGTTAAAATTAAATACCAAATTATCAGGAATCACATAGAACTTAAAAAGGAGACTAATTTAAGTCAGCAGCTGCCTAGCAAACCAAAACCAAGATGTCAGAGATGTTAGAATTAGTTGACAAATGATTTTAAAGCAGCCATGATAAAAATGCTTTAATAAGCAATTATGAACACATACTTAAAACAAATGAAAAATGAAAGTCTCGGCAAAGAAATAGAAGATAGAAAGAACCAAATGGAAATTTCAGAACTGAGAAATATAATAACTGAAATAAAAAGCTCAGTGGAGGGCCGGCCCCGTAGCTTAGCGGTTAAGTGCGCGCACTCCGCTGCTGGCGGCCCGGGTTCGGATCCTGGGTGCGCACCGATGCACCGCTTCTCCGGTTATGCTGAGGCCGCGTCCTACATACAGCAACTAGAAGGATGTGCAGCTGTGACAGACAACTATCTACTGGGGCTTTGGGGGAGAAAAATAAATAAATAAAATCTTAAAAAAAAAAAAAAAAAAGCTCAGTGGACAGGCTCAACAGCAGAAGGGAAAGGACAGAGGAAAGAACCAGAAGACAGAACAGAAATGACTGAATCTGAACAAGAGAGAAATGCACTGAAAAAGAAAAGTGAGCAGAGCCTCAGGGACTTGTGGGACTACAAGAGAAGATCCAAAATTCATGTCATCAGAGTCCTAGAAGGAGAGGAGAAGGAAGATGAGGCTAAAAAAAAGAAAAAACCTCAAAGAAATAATGGCTAAAAACTCTCAAATTTGGCAAGAGACATAAACCTACAGATTCAAGAAGCTGAGAAAACCCCAAAGAGGATATACTTAAAGAAATCCATGCCAACATACATCATAATTAAACTTCTCAAAGCTTAAGACCAAAAAAAAAAAAAAAAAAACAAAACAAGAAAAAAAGAAACACATCTTGAAAGCAGCCAGAGAAAAACAATACCTTATCTATATGGGAAAAAATTCAAATGATAGAGGATTTCTCATCAGAAACCCTGGAGGCCAGAAGAAAGTGGCACAATATTGCTCAAGGGCTGAAAGAAAAGAACTGTCAACCTAGAATCCTATACCCAGTGAAAATAGCCTTCAGGTATAAAGAGGAAATCAAAATATTCTAAGATGAAGGAAAACAAAGAGAATTTGTCACCAGCAGACCTACCCCACCCTAAAAGAATGGCTAAAGGAAGTTCTCTAAACAAAAAAGAAACAATAAAAGGGAAAATCTTAGAACATCAGAAATGAAGAAAATATACAATATGCAAAAATATGAGTAAATACAATAGGCTCTCCTTCTCTTGAGTTTCTGCGTTATATTTGACATTTGAAACAAAACTCATAACACTGTCTATTGTGGTTCTAACTGTACATAGAGGAAATGTTAAAGACAATTATATTATAGATGGGAGACAGTAAAGAGATATTAAGGGAGGTAAAGTTTCTGTACTTGAATTGGTGAAATGACATCAGTAAACTGTGATAAGTTATGTAGATACAATGTAATACCTAGAGCACCACTTAAAAAGCTATATAAAGAGATACACTGAAAAACAAATGGATTTCTAAGAAATGTTCAGGTAACCCACAGGATGGCAGAAAAAAGAAAAGAGAGAAATGAAAAACAGAGAATAAATAGAAAACAAAAAATAAAATGGCAGAATAAAGAATATCAATAATTACATTAAACGTAAATGGTCTAAATACACCAATTAAAAGACACAGGCTAGCAAAATGGATTAAAAAACAAGACCCAACTATATGCTGTCTACAACTCACTTCAAACAGAACAATAAAGGCAGGTTGAAAGTAAAAGGATGGAAAAAGATATATCATGCAAACATTAACCAAAGGAAAGCATGTATGACTATATTAATATCAGATAAAGTAGTCTTCAAAGCAAAGAAAATTACTAGATAGACAGTAACATTATATAATGATAAACAGGCTGACTCACCAAAAAGACATAGCAATCCTAAATGGGTATGCACCAAATAAGAGAACTGCAAAATATGTGTAGCAAAAACTAATAAGACTGAAAGGAGAAACAGACAAATCCACAATTATAGTTGGAGACTTCAACATCCATCTCTCAACAATTGATACAACTACATAGAAAGTCAGAGAGAATACAGAACTCAAAAACACCATCAACCAACCTGATCTACTTGAAATTTATAGAATACTCCACCCAATAACAGCAGAATACACATTCTTTTCAAGGGCCCATGGTACATATACCAAGATAGACCATATCCTAGGCCATAAAAACAATCTTCAACAAATTTAAAAGAATTGAAATCATACAGTGTTTTCTGACCACAATGAAATCAAACTAGAAGTCAGCAACAAAAGATCATAGTAAAACTCCAAACACTTGGAAACTAAACAACATACTTCTAAATACTGCATGGGTCAAAGAAGGAAAATACAACATACCAAAATTTGTGGAACACAGCTAAAGCAGCGCCAAGAGGGAAATTTATAACATTAAAAGTGTACATTAGAAACGAGGAAAAGTCTCAAATCAATAATCTAAGCTCTCACCTGTAAAACCTAGAAAAAGAGCAAAATAAACCCAAAGCAAACAGAAGGAAGAAAATAATAAAGACAAGAGAAGAAATAAATGAAAATAGAATAAAGAAAATCAATGAAACAAAGAGCTGGCACTTTGAAAAAAAAATCAATAAAATTGACAAGCATCTAGCAAGATTTGACAAAGAAACAAAAGAAAGACTACACAAACTACCAAAATCAAGAATTAATAGGAATATCACCACAGACTCTGCAGACATCAAAAGAATAAGGGAATGCCACAAACACCTCTATACACGTACATTTGGCAATTTAGAAGAAGAAATGGTCTACCTGCCTCCCCAGGCTGACATGAGGCCTAACAGGCTGGATGGGGAGTCGTGCATATCACCAACCCCGGTGCACCAGGAGCCATTGCTGCACCACAGTTTATTGGAACTCCTATCTAAATCTCATCAAGACGGGGTTGGCCTGGTGGTGTAGTGGCTAAGTTCGCGTGCTCCACTTCAGCAACTTGGGGTTCACGGGTTTGGATCCTGGGTGCGGACCTATGCATCACTTATCAAGCCATGCTGTGGCAGGTGTCCCACATATAAAGTAGAGGAAGATGGGCACAGATGTTAGCCCAGGGCCAATCTTCCTCAGCAAAAAGAGGAGGATTGGCAACGGATGTTAGCTCAGGGCTAATCTTCCTCACACACACACAAAAAAATCTCAGCAAGACTTTTTGTAGATACAGACAAGATTTTTCTAAAATTTATATTGAAAGGCAAAGGAACCAGAATAGCTGAAACAATTTTGAAAAAGATAAACAAAGTAGGAGGAATCACTCTACCAGATTTCAAGACTTAATACATAGCTACAGGTATTGGTGGAAGGATAAGTACACAGATCAGTGGAACAGAAAAGAGAACCCAGGGATGGATCCACACAAATATACCCAAATGATTTTTGACAAGGGTGCAAAACCAATTTATTAGAGGAAGGACAGCCTTTTTAAGAAATGGTGCAGTTGCAACTGGACATCCATAGGCAAATAAATGAACCTTAACCTAAAACTCACATTGTATACCAAAATTAACTCAAAAATGGATTATGATCTTAAATGTAAAATGTAAACTATAAAATTTTTAGGAAAAAAATAGGAGAAAATCTTTGAGATCTAGAGCTAGGTGGAGTTCTTACACTTAACACCAAAAGCACAACCCATAAAAGGAAAAAGTCTGATAAATTAAACTTCATTAAAATGTAAAGTTTTGCTCTGTAAGAGCCCATGTGAAGACAAAAAGATAAGCTACAGACTAGCATAAAATATCTGTAAACCACATTTCCAACAGAGGACTAGTATTTAGAATATAAAAAGAACTCTCAAAACTCTACAGTATAAAAGAACAAACAATCCAATTAGAAAATGAGCAAAAGTCATGAATAGACATTTCCCTGAAGAGGAGATATGGATGGCAGTTAAGCACACGAAAAAACGTTCAACATCATTAACCACTAGGGAAATGCAAGTTAAACACAGCTATCAGATGGCTAAAATTAAAAATAGTGCAAATACCAAATGCTGGTGAGGATATGAACAAACTAGATCACTCAAACACTGCTGGTGGGAACGTAAAATATACAACTAGTCTGGCAAACAGTTTGGCAGTTTCTTTCTTTCTTTTTTTTTTTTGTGAGGAAGATCAGCCCTGAGCTAACATCCAGTGCCAATCCTCCTCTTTTTGCTGAGGAAGAGTGGCCCTGAGCTAACATCTGTGCTCATCTTCCTCTACTTTATATGGGACCCCACCACAGCATGGCTTGACAAGCGGTGCGTTGGTGCACGCCTGGGATCCAAACCTGAGAACCCAGGGCCGTGGAAGCGTAGTGTGCGCACTTAACCGCTGGGCCACCAGGCCGGCCCCCAACAATTTCTCTAAAAAAAAAAAAAAAAAAAAAGTAAACATGCAACTACCATATGACCCACAACTGTACTCCTGGGCATCTACCCCAGAGAAATGAAAACTGTTCACACAATAAGCTGTACACAAATGTTTACAGCAGCTTTATTTACAATAGCCAAAAACTGGAAACAACCCAGATGTCCCTCAACAGGTGAACAGTTAAACTGTGGAACAATCAACCATACATCAGAATACCACTCAGCAATAAAGAGGAACAACCGATTGGTGCATGCAACAACCTGGATGAAGCTCTAGAGAATTGAGCTGAGTGAAACAGCCAATCCCAAAAGGCTACATACTGTATGATTCTGCGTATGTTAACATTCTTGACCTGATGAAATAATAGAAATGGGGAACAGGCTAGGGTTTGCCAGCGATCAGGGAGGAAGTCGGAAGGAAAAGCAAGTGGATGTGGCTGTAAAAGGGCAACGTGAGTCATGGAAATATTCACGGGGACTGAATCAAGGTTCTCCTGGTTGTGACACTGTACTATAGTTTTGTAAGATGTTACAATTAGGGGAAACTGGTAAAGGGTATACATACAGGATATTTCTGTATTATTTCTTACAACAGCCTGTGAATCTACAATTAAATAGTGTAACTTATTTACACTATAAAATATAAAGTATAATTTTAAAAAAAGCAACTGAGCTTCAATTGCTACAAAATCATTTACAAAGTTACAACTTTAAGGATCTAAATCTCTCTTACAGTTATCATCGAGAAACTGTGAGATCTATTATTTTTCTCCCTAATCTCTGTTTTGAAAATGCTAAATAATGGGCCGGCCCCGTGGCTTAGTGGTTAAGTGTGCGCACTCTGCTACTGGCAGCCCGGGATGGGATCCCGGGCGCGCGGACGCACCATTTCTCCGGCCATGCTGAGGCGGCGTCCCATATACAGCAACTAGAAGGATGTGCAACTACGACATACAACAATGTACTGGGGCTTTGGGGGCAACAAAAAAAAAAAAAAAAGGAGGAGGATTGGCAATAGATGTTAGCTCAGAGCCGGTCTTCCTCAGCAAAATGAGGAGGATTAGCATGGACGTTAGCTCAGGGCTGATCTTCCTCTCAAATAATAAATAAATAAATAAATAAATAAAACTGTTAAAAAAAAAAGAAAGAAAATGCTAAATAAGAAGAACTATACAATTGAGTCTGGCTGACTAGTACATATAAGTGTCTGAATTCTTGGAAGAAAGAGAACAGGAGTATGCATTTACATCTTGGTCCCACATTTTATTTACTTATTTAGAACTTAAACCTAAACTACTTCCCCAAAGGATAACAAATTATCATACCTTGGCACCATATAAATCCGAATTCTTCATTAAAAATTCTGCTGAGGTTCGTACTGTTACCCCTGTAGTTTCACACTGCAGTACACAGTTTTCCAACGTCGTCTTGCCATGGTGAATGACTATGATGAAAACACGCATTCCAATGCTTTAGGAAGTAATGTATCTTTTCCAACATTAGAAATGGCCTAGAGCTGACATTAGACAAAGTCTAAATATTTCTCAATAGCTATCATTTAAACTTTGTTACTGGAATTACAAATTCATAATTTACAAAATAATGACTATTTTGAGTTATTTTCTAAAATCTAAAAGCAGCATTCTTAAAAAAGAATGACTTGACCTCAGAAATGCAAAATCAAGTTAAAAGGCACTTTTCATTACAAAAAAAGTATCAGAAAGTAACTTTCATGAATATTCTGAAAGGGAGAAGAAAAGGAGACCCAATTCAAGAAAGGGGACGCAGATCCTAGGAACAAACAATAGGGCAACATGAAGACAGACGGTGTGAGCCTAGGGCTAAAGTGAGCACCAAGAACACAGGCCACAGTGCTGGAATGCTTCAAAGGAGAAAAATCATCACACAGAAACCAAATTATAAGAATAGGCTGAACTCTTTTTCACTTTAGAGTAAGCCTCCTAAGTCATCATGCTTTGTACATAAATAATTAATCAGCCTTTCACATACTCGAGAGTGGTATTTTATTAAACTGTATCTTCCAGGGAAAATAAAGTTTTCCTTCAAAGCCTGGAACAAATAACACACGAAATATTCAGACACTTACTTAAGATTCCTTCTACAGCATCATGCTGAACAAATTTTATGCTTGAGATTTTAATATCTGCACCCGTACAATCCACAAAAGTGTCTCCTTTGCCCCTCTTCTCTATCACAATATCATCTGGTAGACCATATCCTAAGGAAGAGAGCAAGAACACTTAAGATGGGTGAGGGGAAATGTCCAAACACAAAATTGCTATGATATATTTCTCTATTTTAAATGATCCAAATGGTATTTGAGACCAGTCAACCCAGTTGTATGTACATAAAATCTAATTGTCTCCTCACATATCTTGTTTAATTTAAACCAGCTATACAATTTTTAATAACAACTCAATTTGCCCCCATATCAGGAAAACTACCCTATCAATCATCTCAGACCAGCTCAGCACTAAATTCACTTACAAAACTGCTTTAAAAAAAATAATCCTAAGTACTCACAGCTGAGTCAAAGGGCTTTAAAGCATTTAGCCCTCATAAGCCTTTTTTCCAACTGTAAGATTCTATTTTTCTAATATAAATTAGGTTTGAAAAAGCCTAAGCATTTCTCAAGATTTTCTAATTTTAAAATTCTCTTAAACAGATTGACTTAAAATCTGACAAATTGTCTTTAAACAGTTTTAGCTTTTGGAAAAATAGGTCTACTTGGCTAACCAAGAAACAACATTGGATCTCTACAAATCTTAATCAAACTAATAATGCAGGCCAGACCTCTGAATGGGCTTACAAAAAATTGGAGCACCAGAAAACTAGAGAATTTGCCTGACTTGCATCATAAAACAGAACCACATAGACAGAGCTGTAAGAAATAATTCTCACTGTTTAAAATGAGTTGCTGCTTGAGTAAATAAAAGCAGTAACTACATTAAAGAGGCAAAGCCACCAAGGTTTCCTATATGTGAAGAGTGCAGACAAGCCTTCGGGGCACTAGAGAACGCAAGAGGGCTCCAGACCTGGGGATGCTGCCAGTGAGGAACCCAGATGACTGGATTATGAGTCATTTTTTTTTCTGATTCTTTTTATGTGTCTGCCTGTATTTTGCACATTTTCTACAATAACCATTGTTTTTTATCATCAGAAAAAGAAAACATATAAAAATAATCGCCACATTAAGGAAAAAACAGATTATTACATAAACAAGTTATGTATTCTTAGCAGTTTAAAACATAAAACCACCACCTAAGTGAATGGATGTTCTAAACAAGAAAGAAAAACCCTACTATAAGTACTGTTAATACCCTACACATAGTAGGTACTCAGTGTATATCTCTTATTCTAAGTGTTAGCTATAGATCAGATAAGCTAGCAGATAAGCTTGATCTTACTCAGGAACAAGTACTCCATATATTCACTCTAGAGATACCATCTGATTCCCCAAATTCTCAGAAATACCCTCTATTAGTAAATTTACAGTCATTTTTACACTTAACTATCAGAATTCTACATGGTTAGTTATGACATTTTGGCAATTACATTATAATTTCCTCACCAATCTAGGAAGAACTCTTACCCACCATACAATCTATAATATTAATGCTACTTTCACCACGCCAAAAAATAAAGTGTTTTTATTGCAATGATTTATCCTACAAATGTGTTATTTATACACATACATCTATTATATATCAAATATTAGAGAAGAGAAAGAACAAAAATTACACACATAAAACAAAAAAGGGGTGAGGTGATGTACTAGTGAACAGCAGGAAATTAAACTCCCAGCCGTGCTTCCGTTAAGAAGTTCTGACAAGATAAAGAACATAGCTTAAGCAGTTTGTGAACAGCTGCACAAGTCCTAAAATGGTATATGATTTTTTGCTTTATTGCTAACTTGAAGATCTTTTGGTAAATAGCTGAGCAGGTGCATCTATGTTTGATACGTTACGGAAATATACAGGACCAAGATGAATGATTGAAAAGTAACCTAAATTTAGGAATCACTCTAGATGTACAATAAGATTATAACTGCTAAAAAGTTCTTTTTAATAATCTTTCAATATGAAGATACAAAGTGTTGAATTTGTGACATTCAGCAAGCTTTTAAAGAAGTAAGATAAAGATTTTTGGTCCATTTTCAAGTTGGAGCTATACCTCACAAAAACATGCTAAATTTAAAACAAAAAGCCATGCACAACATATGCAAAATAAGGGTAAGCAACAAATAAAAAAATACTAAACTTTAAAAAAAATATTGCTTAAAATATTTTTTTTTATTCTAGAAATGAGATTTTCTTTCCATAAACCACCTACAATCTGGAAAGTATGGTTCTTCCTAATGGTCTTTTTTCTCTGTATTTGTCTTCCCAACACATGTAATGCCACAAAGAACCATACCTCACTCAAGTTGCTCAAACACTGAGTCACTACCGTGTACGCTTTAAATACCCTTAATGTTTTAAGGCATCTCATCTGAAATCAAATGGGTTGAAATCATATTCTTGGAGCTTCAACAAGATCAGTGATTTACTATTTTCTTAAGTGTATCATACATGAGTTTGGTTGTGTGATCTTCCATACTCACCTTCCAACTCAATGGAGTCAGCAATGGAGAATGTGCCATGTACCACGTAACGGCCAGGACAAACAATAACAGTGTCACCTTCATAGCAGGCATTTATAGCAGACAACGGATCACCGTGGAACTAGAAAACAACAACAACATATTGCAAATATACGCCCCCAAAAGCAACCTGAATATTACTCCATGAGCCTTCTTGTTTCACTTTGAAAAAGGAGCCAAAACTGCACGCATAAGTATCTCCTTTGCTGCTGCACTGAGCCCAGTGCAGGCTTGGTGACCAGCGCTGACAGAAGGCAGTGCTCTCACTATCCCCACTGCACAGAAACCAGCTCTGGGAAGCTCCTGTAAACACTCTGTAGAATTCAGGAAAACCTGGGGTACATCGGAAGCAAAATAAAGCCACCTGGAGCAAGAAATTCTCCTTTTACCTGAATCTCTGTTTCCTCCTTACAAGGCTCCTGACAAAGCCTGTCCCTGAGCAGGGACCACAGCAGACCAGTCATCATGGTGGAGGCGACCACATGGGTGATCTTCTGACCATTTGGACGGATGCCCTTTGCTTGGATATTAGAATTCTTCTGATAACCAAACACATATCTTAAAGAAACCACACAGACCCATCAGTTCTCAGTAAGATAGCCGGTGAGAAAAGATGCCAACTAGCTAAGCAGAACAGATACACGTACCTCAACAAAGGATTCTCAATGAGTTTTAGCTTTTGTTTCAACTGTTCGATCTCTGAATACAATTTTAACCCTTCCACCATGGAGATATTTTCCTGCTCAGAATCAGAGTCACAATGTGACAAACTGCTTCTCAGATTTAAAAACTTCCTGTAACTTTCCTCACATTGAGACAACAGGTTGCGGTAGTCAACAATAAGTCCTGAGGGAACTCGGTCTTCAAGAATGTCATAATGCCTGCAAGTTTAAAAGCAAATTGAAATCCACCGCCTTTCAGACACATTTTCCTGTCATTAAGACAGCCCATTCAGTCCTCAAAGACCCAGTAAGAAAAGTGTTTTGTAGTATATAACTCAGGTACACGTTAAGTCTTTCTGAATAGCACTCGATTATAAGTGGAAGCTGTTGCAAGTTTCAAGCACCACTTCACTAAAGTCACTATAATTTTTCTTCTTTTGAGGAGTTGCTATTTTTTCTTCTTAGATACAAGCATTTGTGCTTTAGAAACACTGAAAGTTCACGTTGCACAATTTGTATTATTTGTATTTATATCATTATTTAATAAGAAATTATTTTCTGATATAGTAGACTCAAAATCTTAATAAGCGGGTGGCAGAGGGCAATCTGGGGGTGGGGGTGGGGAAGGAAGTATCCTAAATAGTTTCATAACAATGTTTAAGAATGTCATATTTATAGGATCAAAAATTAAAAATGATTCAAATCATCTAGTCCTTCTTCACATTTAAAGCACTATGGCACAAAATTATGCTGAATATTCCCTCAGGAGGAGTATTAGAGTATTTCAAAAACATAAGCCTTTGAGATTCTGAGGAAAAAAATAAACTGTCATTACTGGAGAGTGATTAAAACAAAATAACTCTGTATTGGACTACTTTATTGGCACTTAAAATTTATTATTAATTTATATATCAAATATATAGACAACAAAAAGTATTTCTAAATGCAATAAAATAATTTATGAATGTACAATCAAGAAAATGGATGTGAAGTCAATGGATTTGAGAATAAACTGCAATATTATTGTCGTTATCTGTAGTTTTAAAATAATTGCTTTATTTCTCAATTAAAAAAGTATATTGATTAGCTATGCCTTAGGCCAGAGCTTCTCAACCTTGGCTGCATATTAGACACACTGGGGAGCTTTAAAAAATACAGACGCCCAGGTCTCCATCCAATTGGTCTCTAGAAGTAGAGAGGTATTTTTTAAAGTTCCTTGGGGATTCTAATGCGCAGCCAAGGTTGAGAACTATTGCCTTAGATGATGTTTTTTTCACTCAGTCATGCTGTAAATAAGATAGGGGAAAAAAAACAGAACCACATCCTAAACAAACACATCAAATTATGGTGAACATTCAAACAGTATTTAAAAGGAATAAAAAATAAATTTATTTCCACTTTTCAAATAAATGAATTAGGTGAAGCTTAAAAAGCAAGGAGTTCGTCTGCTTTGGTTAATCCATACGGACTTAAAGATATTCTAGAAATCCACTTTACAAACAAGAAATTGGGGAGCAAACCACTGACTGCTTGATTAGGTCTATTAAGTTACGAAGATTAAGACTCAAATTTTAAAATAAGTTTCTAAGCATTTCCAATATCCATGCCAATCGGCTTATTTCGTCTCATTATAGTGATACTTCATAGTCTAGAAGCAATGAACCAACATCTGTGTCTCAGACCCATAAGCTTTGAAACAGTGTTTTGAATTAGAAAGGAAAAATATTTACTGCACAGTGCAAAATCCAGACAATATGGTCTGATTCCCTTTAAATCTTGACTGTTGATAGCTCTACTCCTATCTTAGCCTATAGACCTTTTTGAAGAGTCTGCCTACATTTGATAACATTCTAGTTTATCCATCACGTACCAAAGTTCCTTCTCAATAACTAAAAGCAATTCCTCCCTTATGCTTTCCTACCTGCCAGTGATGTACAAAGTATGTACATAAATCATTTCCTGCTGTTCAAACACGTAAGGCTGTCAAATAGGAATAGTTTTTTTCCAAGTAAAGATTAAATTTGCCAGATATACAATATTCACCTACCATTATATTTCACTTCAATCAAAACCAATCACTGCTCTTTAAGAGCGAGTGTATCAAAATTAGAAAATTTGCAAGCATTGAAATTCTGGCATTTTATTGAATACGCTATGGGAAAATAGGAAATGCACAATGGAAAAATTGGAAAAGCTAAATAGAAGTTATAGCCAATTTATGAAGAGCTGAAATCAGATACACATAATTCTAAACCAGGTAGAACCATTAACCAGACTTTTCACATATTTTTTACTTATTATTTACTAGTAAACCAAGAGAAGCTTACTAAGTCAAATTGGATTCCAAAAATGTAGAGTTACTGGCTTATCTTATGTAACCAAATCATCTTTCACACGTGGAAAAAAATTATCTTGTACAATTTTTTTGGAGTGCAAGTTCTAATTTTATTCTTACTGCTGCACTGCCTATAAAATGACTACTCATGAATATAAGAAAACTTCTCTGGTCTTAGAGCACCATCTAGTGGAAGGCTAAATGCCACATGTAACAAAGCGCAGAAAAACAACTATTTGGGTTGCATGGTTGATTTGTGCTATTTTTGTACGGAAGGGTTTTTCCCGTCCAAAATATGATAAGTTAGAAGAAGAATGTGTTTAGGTATTTTGGAAACTCTTATTCACCACGAATATTAACTATTTAGTATTTTCATCTATTTGTCAAATAAGATTAAAGACAAGAACTTGACACAACATCCTGAGATAAATCTGTTCGTTTAGCCTACTGTGTTTTACTGCAGGAACTTATAATAAAGCCATATATCTTTAAAAGTACTCTTTAACAAAATGACAACAAAAAAGTCTTCTATAATTCAATTTAATTTCACTGTTTTTCAAACAATTGTCTTTGAATTTAACAAAGGCGTTTTTTTTAACACATTAGCTCAGTTGAGTTTTATTCAGATTTATAAAAGTTGTATGTTTTTGAACTCTCTGCTTTCAGACTCAGTTTATAAACACTAAAAGTAGGTTTCTCTGCACTTGTACAAATTCCATTTAGTAATTTGTCTATCGGTTACGCCATTTGTACATCAGTCTGTTTCTGTTTCTGTGGGCCCCTGATGTATATATACAACAGGCAGGTAAAATTAAACCATGGGTGGCTATTTTCCAGCGTGTACAAGGTCACTAATAAATACTTACAATCTCAATCGAGGTTCAACACATCTGACAAAATAATCGTACTCATCCTCCTCTTCTTCATCCCAACTCCTCCAAATGTTTTGGTAGAAAAACCTAAAAAGGAAATTAGTAACATTCAAATTCAATCACTGGCTCAAAATGTTAGGCTTTTGGATGGGTGAGAGCTACAGAGGAAATCAGAACAATTCTACCAACTATGGTGGAGAATGCTATGGATCTGCTACACAGTCTTGATAGGAGTCACACGGACCTTCTTCAGATGGGCTAAAGAAGTTTCTCCACAACACTGGCTCTGGTAGGACTTTCTTTTTATCAGAAGAACTACTTATTGACCATCTGTAACTGGGTGGATGGTAGTGCCATTTGTTGAGACAGAAAAAACTGGGAGAGAAACAGGTTTAGGGTTGACAAGAAAGAGTTCTGTTCTTGCCATGTTCAAATTGAGATGCCTGTGTGACCTCCAAGTGGATGACGTCTGAGTAAAGACGAATATACAAGCCCAGAGCTAGAGGGAGAGCCAGGGCTAGAGACACAAATCTGGGAGCTGCCAGCATATTGATGCATAAAAGCAAGAGATGAGATCATCTAGGGACATAATATAAAGCAGTAGTTCTCAACCCTGGCTGCACGTTAGAGTCCCCTGGGAAGCTTTTAAAAGTAGATTCCCAATCCTATCCAGGCCAATAAATCAGACTCTCTTGAAGGCTGGCAGCAGGGAGAGGGGTTGATATACAGGATCCATATGTTTTTAAAGTGCCCAAGTGATTTAACAGATTTTTTATTATGGAAAATTTCAAACATATACAAGTGCAAATAGTATCATGAATACCATGCATCCATCACCCAGCTTCAACAGTTATCAACTCATGGCAAATCTTATTTCATCTCGGGCCGGCCCTGTGGCTTGGTGGTTAAGTGCGCGCGCTGCGATGCTGGCGGCCCGGGTTCGGATCCCGGGTGCGCATCGAGGCACCACTTCTCTGTCCATCCTGAGGCCGAGTCCCACATACAGCAACTAGAAGGGTGTGCAGCTATGACATACAACTATGTACTGGGGCTTTGGGGGCAAAAAATAAAATAAATAAAATCTTTAAAAAAAAAATCTTATTTCATCTCTATCCCACCCACTTAATTCTGTTCCCCTCCCCCCACAATCCTGACATGGATTATTTTAAAGCAAATCTCAGACATCTCATTTCATTCATAAATTTGTGAATTTCCTGTACAGTATGTTTCTGTAAAATAAATCTTTATACCAAAAAAAAAAAAAAGTTTTTAATTCCTTAATATCAGAATATCCAGTCAGTGTTCAATTTTCCCTAATTGTCTCTTTTGTTGTTGTTTTACATTTGGCGTGTTCAAATCAGGATCCAAACAAGGGACAGCCACTGTCTTTAATTAAATCACTTTATTCTGTAGATTATCCCTCCCTCTTTTTCTTCTTGCAATTTATTTAATAGTTTCCCACACTCTGAATTCTATTGATTGCATTCCCATAGAGTTGTTTAACATGTTCTTCTGTTTCCTTTATTTCTAGTAAACTGATAGTAAGATCTAGAGACTTGAGCAGCTTTAGGAAGGATTTTTGGGCAAAAATACTTCATGTGGAAGTATTATTCCATCAGAAAGCACATGACACCTGGTCATCTATTTTGATGACGAGGTTAAGAATGATCAATGGATTCAATCAATGATCAATCGTGCTGTCAGCCTGATCCATCTACTATGAAGTTCCCCATCAGTTTTTTGCCAATAGTCATAGCAGACATTGATGATCATTGCCTAGAACCTTTATTTCATTACTAGTTGCAAAATACTGATATTCTGATCCTATCATTCTTTCTTCATGTATTAGTTGGACGACTCCCATAAAGAAAATTCCCAGGTGATTCTAAAGTGCTTCCAATGCTGATTACAGAGAGAGAAGAGTAGACAGCCTAGGACTGATCCCTGGGTAACTCCAAACATTCTAAAGTTTGAGCATGAGAGGAAAAGCCAGCCAAGATGACCAAGAAAGAAAGCCAATGACACAGCATCAGAATGGTGGTGTCCCAGAAGCTGGGAGGAGATTGTGTGAAGAAGATGGGAATGATCAAATAACTAGAATGTGACCCAGAGGTCAAGCAAGACGAATCAGAGAAGTGACAACTGGTGACAAGAACATGGAGGACTTTGGTGACCTTAAGCACAACTTCAGGGGTGCTGTAGGGACCGAAACATTACTGGAAAGCCAGGAAGCACAAACTGACTTTAACTCTGTCAAGAAGTTCTACTATTAAAAGGAAGGAGCAGTGAAAATGAAGCCATCTCATAATGCTTGTAAATTGGACTGCCAGTCTCTTCACTTCTAGAGTCCATCTTTAAAAAAAAAAAAATGGGGGCTGGCCCAGTGGTGTAGTGGTTAAGTTCACTCGCTCTGCTTCGGCGGCCCAGGGTTCACAGGTTCAGATCACGGGCACGGACCCACGCACAGCTCGTCAAGCCATTCTGTGGCAGGTGTCCCACATACAAAATGGAGGAAGATGGGCAAAGATGTTAGCTCAGAGCTAATCTTCCTCAGCAAAAAGAGGAGGATTGGCCAATGGATGTTAGCTCAGAGCCAGTCTTCCTCATAAAAAAAAAAAAATGAACCTGAGAATGCCTTTACTCAATTAAAAAAACTCTGCTGGCTCCTTGTTGCCCTCAGACTAAAATCCAAATTCCTGAACATGGTGATATGACATGGATTCACAATCTGGCTCTTGAGCACCTCTCTTGCCTCAGAACCCCAGCATGCAAACTCCTAATTTCACAAGCTCTTTAAAATCTCCGTGTGGCATGCTGGGCATGCTGCCAGAAGTGCCTTCCAACTTCTCCACCTGGGAACCTTATATTGACATTTCAAGACCCAGCTCAAATATCATCCTCACCAGTACCATATTGAGCATTCACATCTGCACGTCCTCCAGTGTTTATTCTCTCAAGACACAAACTTGAGAGGCAACCTTGACTTCTCCCATATCCACTCACATCTCCTCACCCCCCATACCCACTCCACCACCAAGTCCTAGCCATCCTACTTTCTCAATAAGCCTCCACCTGTCCTCTCCATCTCCTCACTCTAGTCTACTCTCTTGCCTCTTAACTGGTCTCCCTATTCCATCTCCCTCCATTTGTTTTCCACACAGCAGCCAGAATGAACCTTTTAAAACACAAAGCTGATCATATTCACCCTTGAATGAAAACCCTTCAGTGGTTTCCCACTGCTCTTAAAGACAACAATGATTAATTGGCTGACATAGCTCTGCAGCTTCTGACCCCTGACAAGCTCTCTAAGCTGGTTACCTAAGTCTCTCCCATTACTGTCTGTGCTCCAGCCATGCTGGCCTTTTGGCTCCTTCAGCTCACTGAGCTCCTGGACCTGTTCCCTCCCCCACCCCTGCCACAACCCCTTTCACCTAGCCAACCCTTCAGAACCAAGTTCAAATGCCATTTCCTCAGGAAATAAGCAGGTAACAGCAACCTGACCCAGTCTTAGAACACTCTGTAATTCTTCATAGCACTCCCTGCAGTTTCCAATCACGTATATATCTCTGTGTGATTATTTCATCAAAGGTCATCTCCCACCTGTAGACTGACAGCTCTCTGGTGATGGTGACTGTGTTTGTTTCGTGCACCAGTCAAATCTCACCCTCAGCACAGGACTCAACGCTTGAATACTTATTGAATAAAAAAACAAATGAAAACCCTCCTAATTTGACCTTTTCTGGGCACTGACCAGAATGTGAGCCATCAAAATTAAGAATATATTTAGCCAGGCTCCCCTTCAAATAATGCCATTACTAATTCCAGATACTTGTCTTTCTATCAACTTTTATACCCATAGATTAGCTCCCTGATTCCTAAACTCATCAATTATCCCTTTACCTTCAAATGCTTCAATTGATGGATTATTTTAAGTGAGAGAAATATACGGGAGTTATTCCAGGCCGGCCCCGTGGCTTAGCGGTTGAGTGCCCGGGCTCCGCTGCTGGCGGCCTGGGTTTGGATCCCGGGCGTGCACCGACGCACTGCTTCTCCGGCCATGCTGAGGCCGCGTCCCACATGCAGCAACTGGAAGGATGTGCAGCTGTGACATACAACTATCTACTGGGGCTTTGGGGGAAAAATAAATAAATAAAAATAAATAAAAGGGAGTTATTCCAATTCTGGACAGAAGCCAATTCTTTATATTTATATTGCTTGGCCTAATATTGAACATCTAGGGTTAAATGTTCTTACATACAATTAAAAATTTTCAATGAGATGTCTTGGAAGCAGGAACCAAGACACTCGGCTTCTTTGTAGAGTATTCAAATTAAGCTTGGCAAAACCAGGTTAACTCACTAATGAGTGAGTTAAAAACTGGAAAGTACTTTTTAAACTACAAAACACCAAGAACATCATTAACATGATCATTATATTATCCAGTCTTCCAGTTCCTGGAGGAATATAAGTCTATTTTAAAATAGCCAAAAGTAAGTCTTTCTTAGTGAATATACTTATGTACAGAAGATCCAAAAGAACTATTTGTATCAGCAACTGACAAAAGATTTATCTGGAAAACTGAAAAAAGCATACCTATTAATTCAGGTATGGGCTTTCCTTCTCACTGAGGGGACAAGGGGTGCACTTATGCAAGTGGAAATCAACCAAAAAAGGTTGCAAGGCATGAGCACATCTGCTAAGGATCCTGGAAATGAGAAAACACCTTTTTTGACCAGACACATCCTTGAAAAAACCGTGTATGGGTCTTTTCAGTGCACAGGTCCTGGTATACCACCTTCATCACTTTCTTTTTTTTTTTTTTTTGTGAGGAAGATCAGCCCTGAGCTAACATCCATGCTAATCCTCCTCTTTTTGCTGAGGAAGACCGGCTC